CTAACGTACCTAGCATCATTCTTTTTTTAAATCAAGATTTCAATGAGGTAGGTGGTCTTTAGTCTGCTCGAAATTTCATATTTTTTTAGAGTAAAAATACATCTTAGTTACTAAGCTTGATAAATTATAGTTAAATTGTATGGTATTGATGTAGTAATTTAAGATTTTTAGTTATTCAAATGTATATATAAAACCTAAAAGAGATAATTGTTTGCTTTACTTCTTTATTTACTGTTCTATGTTTTAGGAAAAATAATTAAGAACTTGTTTCAAAATAGTAATAATCTATATACATATATAATGTATAATAATTAAAATGTGACTGTATTTTACAAAATACTAGTCTCATGTGATTTCGCATGTGAAATTTCAAAATTTTTTGATGCATAAAAGTATTTTTAATCTTAAAATGAATATTACTTTGCATGATCGATAGGTAATATGCAAAAAGAAAAAATAAATGGGAGAAAAACATTGCTTTATAAACCTTAAGACTTAATAGAAAAATTTGATATTTTGTGTATGAAAGCACTGTAATGTTTACTGATAATCTGCCAAATTTCGTTAACAATCGCTTACTAATTTAAAAGTTATAGCATGAATACAATAACAAGCACAAAATGGTTACGAGGTCACCCTATGAACCGAGCCCATGCTGAAAGAGTTAAAAGCATGTTTTTTAATCTTTTTATACTAAAAATACCCACTGCATAACCACTGTGTTAAGCACAGTCACATGGTTATGACAACAAAATATTTGTTAAAATAACTTCCTTCTCAATGTATTAGGTGAATTATAAAAATATACGACTTGTACGATCACAAAATCTTAGTTTCAGTCTAACAATTGTATAAAAACTACTATAATTAGCAACTGCTGATAAAAAGATGATGTCAGATTTACAAATTAAAACAAATATTATATTCAGACCTGTTCTTAGTAAATTTAGACTTTTTTTTTTTCAGGGTTGGCAAGTAGTAAGGAAACATAGTTTAAGTACTAGAAGAAGAGTTACCAGAATCTAAGAGCTAAAATAATACTAGTTTTATTTAGTTAACAACTTTTATAAAATTATCTCTGTTCTTTATAAATGTACACATATTTTTTTACATTTCTGTTGACCCCATTATTCATTTATAAATTAAACCAATACTGAATACACAAGTAAAATTTAAAACTTATAAATAAAAGAAGACAATAAAAAGACTACAAGGTTTTGACTTTTGTATTTCAAGAGCTAAATATTTAATAAGTCACAAATACATTAAAATAAGACAAACCAAATGTTTTTATTGTTGTAAATATATTTCTAATAACCAACACCAGTACAAAAAGTGATAAAATTGAATAAGCAAAGCCTAACTCACTATTAGACACTTCATAAGACTTATTTTCAATGTTTCTGTTCTCCAAGTAGTTAGATATTATGGTGCAATGGGTAACATACAATTCTAACCAAATGTGGAATATTGTAGAGAAATTATATGTAACACAAAGCAAATTTTTTAAACTTTCAAAAGCTAAAAATACAGATATTTAAATCATAGAACTAAAAACACATAAATTAGGTGATTTTATTTTACTTTTTTTGCAAAGTCTACACTAATTTGACAACACTGAATCCTGTTTTTCATTTATAAAAAATCTGAATTCAATTACTACATACCTTTTTCTTAATGTTATTTTTAGTATATGATTCTATTTCAACTGTAAAAACTAAAGAAAAGTAACTAGACCTTACTTGGATCAATGCAGTTGAAACCTGTATCAATTCAGAACTTTTTCTAGTATAAGTTATAATTTTCCTACACTGAAAATATATTTCCTGCAGATACTTACTTCCACTCACATACAAAGCTAATCTCGTTCAGTGCTACCCTCTATTTGCAAATATCTTTTTGCATGCCATAAGCCTTTCACTCCCATGCACCCCTCGATTCACATGGTTTAACTGATTCTCACATGAAAATTATCATGCAACAAACCTCCACCAATAGTAGTGCTACACACCCACCTGACTCCCTCTATGCTATTCTACCTAACTATCACTTGAGTTCAGGCAGAAACCTAAGCACCAGTTGGCAGTGGAGAGGAAGGGTAAGAAGTGTGAACAGAAGTAAATACCTGTTGGAAATACATTTTCAGTGTGGGAAAATGATGACTTCTGACAAGGTACCTTATTTCCGCTCACATACATAGCTAGAATCCCACATTGAATAGGTGATCAGACCGGTGCAAGGGAAAAAGTAGAAGCATCCTTCAAAAGTGTCCAAATGACACCCTAATGAGGAATCCTCTAATAAGAGGATTATATGTGGGAGACTCTTCACCCAGATGTGAAAAAGGTGTGACAGATCCAAGCAGAAAATTGTGATGAACACATCCCAATGGGAGAGAAAATGGTTGGATAGTGATCCTAACCACAATACAAATTAATTGCAATTTTCCTGATGAACAAAATGTGGGTAAAAGAAAGGACGTGCCCCAAGGTGTAGAGTGTCTCAGGTGCAACAGACCATACATAGCACATAAACTGCATCTAAAATTCAACCACTGGGAACCAACATCCATGCGGTAGTAGGATGAGGATCATACCATCAGTAAGTCAACTACAATCCAAAACACAACTGCTGAGAACTTACATCTATGCAGGGGTAGGAAAGAGGATCCTACCGTCTTCACCTCAAGTTCAGCTGACCAAAAGGAGAAATTCCCACCACCAATCAGGGAACAGGCCAGATGTGAGAAGAGCAAAATACATAGATATTCCACTCAAACCAAACAAACCAGACCATCTCAATGCAGAAACATCCTTGGAATAAAGACATCAAGAGTTAGCACAAGAGAAAGAAGCGGAGCAACCAACAAGTGCACCCACCATGACCCACAACACAAAAGTAGTGCACTTGAAGTAAAACAAGTGATGCACTAAGCACCCCTTGAACACATGTGAGGACTTATGGTGATTGGTTCAGCTCTAGATCCAAAACTCAACTGCTGGGAATCAATATCCTAGCAGGGGTATTATGAGGGATCCCAAATGAAGGTGTGAACTGTATAGATGCCAACACACCACATGTGTGAGTACATCAGGTCGGTTGGTTCAGCTCTAAATTCAAAACTCAACTGCTGGGAACCAACATTCATGCCTGTGTAAATACACTGATAAAAGATATAACCTCCAAAGTGATAACTTAGAATTCAGAATTCAAAATGAATAACCAAACACCACTGTGTTGGCAGAAAGAAATAAAAACTAGACAAATTTTGTAATGAAGTACTAAGTTCCATAACTGGGTAGAAATATAAAATAATTCCACTTTGGAATAAGTTACAAATATCATTATTGTATTATAAATAGTAAATTGGTTGAGATAAACTGATACGAAGATAAAAAAAAAAAAAACTTGAAGAGAGCACAAACTAAACATCAGAACACGAGCACTGTCAAACAATATGTGGTAGTTAGGTAGAATGGAAGAGGGAGTCACGTGGGCATGTAGCACTACTATTAGTGGAGGTTTGTCGCATGAAAATTTGCATGCAAGAATCAGTTAAACCATGTGAACTGAGGGATGCGTGGGAGTGAAAGGCTTGCGCCATGCAAAAAATATTTGCTAATAGAGGGTAACACTGAACAAGAATAGCTATGTATGTGAGCAGAAGTTAGGTACCTTGTTACAGGTTGCATTTAAAGAGCCAGGTTTATTTCAAATAGTCTGTTATCACATTAATGCTGATTGGTGCTAGTAAAAAGGATCATGTATGAAATTTTGATATTTAGTTTTAATTTATTTTTTAATTTTCATCTTACTTTTCGAAAGAACCATTAAATGTTCACAAGTCATCCTTGTTTGAAAAAAGGGTCAAAAGTTCACAGTATTTTGACTTTATTTTCACAAATTTCTCCTGTGACCCACAGGTGTTATCTTTTCTGATATATTAAATGCAGATAAGCTTTCAATCCATTTTCAAAACATTCTTCAGCATAGATAAGTTGTCTTAGCAGTGGCATTTCATTTTATTAAACAGTATAAATCTCGAGGGTAATTAATAAGAAAACAGAACAAATGTGTCTTGATATAAATCTGAAAATACAAATACTGGTTAAAAAATGTAAAAGGAAAATTTCCCTATGTAAATAAATTAATCATACACACACACATTAATATATACATATATTATAAGCAATAAACAATTGACCTATCCTCAAGTATAAGAAATTATCTTTCTGCAATCTTACCACCAAATGTTCAAATAAAAACTATGTATGAAACTTTAGCTTACTACACTTGTCTTGTTCCCTGTGTGTTTCTGGTTGCAGTGATCACGTAGACTGTGAACGTCCAAGTTCTTCAGTGAGCAATATGGACAGTTAAATGTGAATCTATTTGGTATCTCTGACAGCACAGGCTTTTCTGGCTCTGGCTCTCCTCCACAAGCACCAAGCTCACCACTGTCATCTTTGTCCAACTTTAAGCAAGCCATATGATGTGCTCGTAGTTTTGATAGGGCAATCTTGAAATAAGAAATACAATAAAATACTGACATTAAATAAAAAAATAATAATGAATAAAAAAAGACATAGTATTCTTTCTAAGCCTCCAAAATAATAACCTCCCAATTATATAATGAGGGGTGCCAAAACTCAATCACTATATACTGAAAAAAAATTATGTAAAAACTTTCTGGACTTCCTGCATTCACATGTTTCATACTTATAATTAAAAATAATTAAAGTAACCACAATTTCTGGATTACATACCACATAGAATATACTTTTTACTCTTTCAACATTTTGTTTCAAATCTCTGTTGATTAAATTTTTAAGGTCCAAATTTTCAAACTTTAAAAACTATTTCAAATGATTATATCAAATTAATGACATCTATTTTTTTCTAAAAGAAGAAAACATAAAATTTAAGATTGTTATAAACTGTTTCCAATAGATATATTTTGCGAAAACAGCTCATTTTTACACTAGGTGCATGCAAGTTACCAAATCAACACAAGGCTGTTTTCAATTATGGAAATTGAGTTTGGAGATGAGCCTCCTCATTTTCACATGCTGTGAAATTTAGTGAAATATTACTTGTGAAATGATCATGCATAAGCCAAACTCAAGTCACACAACATGTAACTAAGGAAGTCTTAAAACAATGAGAACAGTAGGATGTTTAAATACCTTTTTTTTGCAACCCAAGCATACTCCTCTACAAGTTGAGATCTTCTTTTCAAGTTCTATTGCTTTTGTTTTCTTTGCAGGATCAAAAGAAGTTCGACACAAAGGACAAACAGATTTTGTTCCTTTACATGCACAGTTCACTAAGCAGCTATGACAGAACCTGATAAACGATTATAAATATTATGCAAGAAGATATCACTTTTCTTAGATGTTACAAAGACAGGTAAGCATGAAGTCTACTAAACAAAACTAAATTGTTAAATGTCTCTTTTCATCAGTTTTAGAAAACTATGTGTACTTTTAATGTTCATCTCATACAAAAACTCTGCTGATGATATTAAACTCTTGAGTACTTCTAGTAAAAGCAATGTTCTTCTATACAACTTTTCAGTTGAAAGATGTTGATAAAATTATGCCTTTAATGATAATTTTATATTACTGCTCTGTTAGTTTGGACTATATAAGAAAAGCTTCCAGCTTTTTTCTTTATCTATGTAACAGGATGTATTTTCTGTGATTTTTTTGGAGGAGGAAATGCTTTAAGTGAATGGGTCAACCTCAATGAATCAACAAGTTCCTTATTATCCTTAAAGTTATAATTATTTATATGCAAAAATGAAGTTATTCTGTGTACATTAGACCTGGGTAACATATCACAGTTAAATGGGGAAGGACAATGACATAACTGTAGCAGTAATGTTTATATTGATGATAATAGGATGTACTGTTATTTTTTCAAGGACATTAATTGTTATTTGAATGAGGAAAATGGAGTGGATTGGCATACTTAAAAAAGCATCAAAAGCTTTTGATAAGGATCACATACTAAAAAAAACTACAGGCTAGGCTTCAGTTAAGTCTTATTTTCAAACAGGGAAATGGATTTGTGCAATGAGTTACTGTTGGCAGTAGTTTATGCAAGAACTTTACAGTGTAAGAAAGGAATTAAGATTTCCAGAAAAGTAAGGGTGAGTTTAATTTTTTTGTTTCTCTAGAATTGGTGTGCATGTGCCACCTTGAAAGCCCAAATGGTCCCATGTTGTTGGTAGGTTATGTTTTGTTACTTTGTTTTTTTTAATTCCCCAAAGTTTGAAATTATTTTTAACAATATGAAAGTCTTCCAAAATTGATAGCATACTAAATGTAAAAATTCAACTGGTAAAACAATTTTAATATTTTATTTGTGACATTAGTAATAACTCTTTTGCAAATTGCTGTCTTTAAGCATTAAAAGTGACCGTTCATTATAAGTTTTCTTTTGTAATTTGAATAAAGTATGTAATCATGTTTAAAAGATATCAGTTTCATTCAAACAGATTACTAAGACATACATGTTCTCTTTTTAATTCCATTGTGAAGGAGAATATTAAGAAGCAAGCTATGATAATGTCACTTTTTAGTTCTAGTGGATGGGTATATTTCAAATACTGACTCTTGAGTAACAGTTAATGTTTACCTACACATCAATATCATATTCATAGTGTAAAGGAATGAATCTATATCTCAGTATGTGTATATGCAAAAAGTTGTAGACTATGAATTAATATATACTACTACGTGATACTTTTAATTTATACTATACTAGTATGTTACTAATACTAGTACTACTTTAGTTTTACTAAGAGTAAGAGTAGTACTAGCATAATAACGGCCTTTTATTTTTAATTGGGCTATATGTTCATATTTTTATAATAAAATTAAATGCATATTAGATATCACACATGTCCATGCATTAACAAGTAATATTGTTATCTAAACATTAAAACTATTAACTAATAAAAGTTAACTTTACTTACGCATGACCACAACAAATCCTCATTGGTGTGTCAAATATTTCAAGACAAACAGGACAAGTAACATCATCTAAGTTCTCCAAAACTTTTCCAGAATCTCTCAAAAATGTAAATACAGACATTTCTATAATAAATATCTCTCCAAAATTATACTTTAACTTTTTAATAAACCTATTTTCTCAACAAAAATAAACGGTAATTAACAGTTACTGTAAAACAAAACCATTCTTGAACCAAATTTCTCTGTCATTGTTCAACTTGTATATGTGCCCTCTAGTGAGTACATTTGATCATTATTATGGCTAAGTTATAAAATCAGAGGTTTAAACATTCGATGTGATTTTTAATAATACAATAAATATTTTTGAGATGACTAGATATATGAAGTAAGAATTATATGTTTTAAACTATTTTGATAAGCATAATTTAATGGTGGGTAATGGATGTTTAGCTGTCTGAACAGTCAATTCAAACATGAGTTGAATTCAAACAGTCAATTCACAATAAGCTCAAGACCTAAACCCCGACAATGTAGCGATAGCGAAGTCCCTAAACTTGGACAGAAGTTGTGAAAAGTTAAAAATGCTAGTGAAAAACCCTCAGTATGGAACAAACTAACAGAAGACTTGAACTTAGAGAAACTAACTCGATACATTCTTGCGTCCTCTCATTCTCACATTGTCTTATAGCAGGAAATATAGTCAGCAACTTTTCTAAAACCTTAATCACTTTCAACTCACTATCAAATTAAAAGTTTCGCGAGAAAAATATGATAAACTTCCTTACTTCGATATTTTTTGTAAACCAAAAAAATTAACTTGTATTCTCTGTACTTCTTTACATGTTAGTATAAACTCGTTAAAATATGTATTATTTCTTCATTTCCCAGAGCCGATAGACTTTGCTACCCAGCAACACTTGACTATGAAATAAAAACATCTTTGTTATATTCAAGCAATTACATTATCCACAACGTTTCATGACAAATTGCCATCTTAAATCGAGAACGACCATTTTCCAAGAAGACAAAGAAAAACCTGCAAACGATATTAACTTTTTATATTGGCTATGAAACAAAAATTGAGCCCTTCGGGAAAATATTAAGGAAAAATAACTTTAGAATTACATGCAAATATACATTGGCTCACTTATCATCTGTAAATCATTCGTGGACAACTTGACAAGCATCATAAATTGGAGGGTATAGAATGCAAGTCATCCAAGTACAAAATTTGAATTTTTTGAGTTAAATACAGAAAGTGATATTCAATCATTTGTTACGAAACTATTAGGTAGCTTGTTCTGACATCACTCTCTCTCACACACACACACATACACACAAGCATGTTATTCATTAAGTCTTCATCTTATCTATTATACCGATGTACAAACACAAGAGCAGTTGGGAAAAGCTAAAGTCAAAGACAGAGGAAGACAAAAATTAGAAAAAGTAGGAACTAAACCTAGGAAGCTAACGGACTTAGGTGCTTCGACGTCTAGTGCCGAAAGCCTCGCCAGTCAAGATAGTGGAAACAACAATATAGACACTAAATCTCTGGATGTTGATGACTGTCAACCTCATCATATCAAATCAAGGCCTTGCCCTCCATCAGAAAGGACCAAACACATACCCGCAAACCAAGGCTGTAAAAACGATCATGTAGAGATTACAACTCCCGATGCTGATGACCGTCAACCTCATCAAATTGAATGAAACTTCTGCCAACAGGAATAAATCAGTTATTCCAATAGCGATGAAGATACTAACCTATCCTTTACATTCGACATTGAGACATAGACACAAGTTTCTGATGAAATGAAATATTTTGTTTGTGCGTCAGAGATTGCTTCTTACCAGTACATGGATGAGGATTTCAGTGCATATATAAAATGGAGTACAAAGCCATAATGCAAGTCCTCGCTTAAATTGTAGGTGATGACTTTCAGTAGCTTCAATTGCCCTTAAGAGTCAAGCAGCTTTATGCTACAATTGGAACAACTAGAAACAGGTATAGTGACGGAATTGTGGGGTGTTATCCTGGAGAGGTTTCACAAGACAAGTTCTTCATTACCAAACTCCCAAATGAATGTAAGTACAACTTCTCATTTGCTAAAATCTCTTAAGACATTTGTGCAGAAATTACAAAATTAATTTCCCGAATATGAGGAAAAGGATAAACAACTGTCAGGATACGAGACTTATAAGGTCGAAAGATCAAGGAAAAGGAATATAAATATGTGATGGGACAAACCAAGCTCGTAACCAGGTCTGGAAGGGGGTATTTTTGGTTCAAAGTAGAACTCGTTTTAGGTGAACTTTAGTACCCAGGGACGAAAAAAAATCGAAATATGTAATTGTTCCTATATTATCACTGCAAATAAGCATTTCTGGTAAATTTCCTCTGATAAATATGACAATGCTGTTTTTGCATGTATTCACAGTGTTACAGAAGCAATTACATAATGAGAGGCCTTCAATAAAGAAAGAAGAAAAATAAATGTTAATAGGCGAGCGGAACTCTGGCGGAAGTGGAGGGTGCGAACGAATCCTTCTGGATATATATATATATGTGTTATGTCCGGGTTATCTTCCGGGATATATTTGAGCTACTTTGTCGTTTTTTATGTTTAAATGTAGGTTTTTTTATTTTTCAGAAACAGGTCCACTTTACCCAGCTTAGTACCCCTCTACTTTTTTTTTCTTTTTCTTGAGAATTTCACCTGTTTTTTTTATTTCTAGAATCGTATATTTCAAGATAAAAAATTCTCACTTTCATAAATAAAAGCTGTATGAGTATTCTTTGATTAGCTTTAAACTCATTTACAAAATTTAAAAAATCTGCAAATTTATAGTTTGCTTAAAGGCAGCTCTTGATAATTGTTACTAACAGTTGTGATCAGGAACAGGCGATTCATCATTTATGTTCAGCCCGATAATGTCGTTCTGTTTCTGATTCATTCTGAATCTTTGATAACATCTCCTTGGCTTGTTACTCAAGATACTCAAAGTCTCCGAGAATATCCCACAGAAACTCTGTCAAAGATTTCATATGGTGTACAACACTCTTCAGAACAAGTTCTTTAGTTTGCAGCAAGAGATTAACTTAATGCATGCATTCCAAAACATCATTCCATAATACACAAAGAAAAACTGTTTCTAGTTCACACAATACGGTAGAACTATTTTTAGCTTCTATACAAGTGTCATTGTTCTGGTCTGTATCATTATGCAGAATATTCAGTGTCAATGATACAAACATAATTCACTTTGAGTGCTTTCATTGCTTCATACCTTGCAGACCATCTTGTGTCAGAAACTGCGTTCACTTGAATCACTTTGTCATTTCTGGATTGTGTCTTCAATATATCATTCAGTAGTTTCCATCTATAAGTAGAACCTGACAGAAATGCATATACCTTCTGAACAATTCCAAAAAAGAAGACAGCTTCCACACTACATCTCGCCACTGTGTGACCCACTTGATTGGGTGAGTGAGCACTACATGGTGCAAATTCAGCCAGAAGATTGCATTGTCGAATCCTGCTTTGCACTCCTTTATATTTTCCTGACATATTAGAAGCCTGGTCATAGCTCTGAGAGCGACAGTGTTTAAGTTCAAGACGACAGTTGTGTTTTAACATTAGCTAAATATTCTCCTCTTTGACTCGATATGGGTATAAATTTAAGAAATATCTCCACAGCTACTAAACTGTCGGGATAAACATACCTTACAGTAAAAGTCAGTTGGTCAATATGTCAATCTGTGGTGGAATCAACTATTATACCAAAGTATTTAGATTTCTTCACTTCATCCAGAATGAGCTCCAGGATCTTATCTCCAGTAAATTAGCAAAAGTTTCACAAATGGTTGAAGACAGATATGACACATGACCACGTCCATGGTTCCCATATTGTTCTATGTGAGTTGCCAGAATTGTCATATTTTGCCACCAACAACTCTAAAATTCCAAGATAGTTTCCATTGTCCACAGAACCAATCAGTTCATTATGTCCTCTTAGAGTAACTCCGTGTTGACCCAGGAAGAGAATGACATCAATAACACGATATAACAAATTTTTCCAGTTCTGACATTCTTGGTCATAAGTTTTACTAAATGCAGTTTCCAAACATCTCTTCTTTGAACGATTGCCACCAAGTTCATGAGACGATAGCCTAGCCGATGTATTCTTCCAGTCATTAAATCTAATAACTAACTGATCAGAACATGAAGAGGGTAAGAATAACTTGCATACTCCACAATACATCATTTTAGATTTTTTGCAAGAACACTAGCCAATATCGATCAGCATATTCTCCATTGACCATTTTTCGTTTGGACATAGATTTAGAAATGAATCGTTGTTTAGTTCCAGACTGTTGTACAGTAGAATTCACAAAGTCTGGAGAATCAAATCAGTATTTCGAGGAATGTAGCCCATTTGAATGAAGTATTCTATCAGTTTCTCACTTAATATCCAGTCAGCAGGATCATAACTAAACGTTTCACAAGTAGGTTTTGTAAACTACATATCCATTTCGGGTGTTGCGACATCCTCGCCTTGTTGTTCAACATTTTCTGCTTCCACTGTCTCAGGCACGGTGTCAAGCTTTGCTGCTGATGGTTCTGTCAATGACCTCACTCCTTTTATTGATGCTTTTGATTTCTTTTCACGTTGTTTCCATTTGTCAGCACTATTAAGGTAATTATGTTTCATTTTCAGATCGGGTCGGCATGACCAAGTGGTTAGGGCACTCGACTCGCAATCTGACGGTCGCGGGTTCGAATCTCCGACCCATCAAACATGCCATGATGGCGTTATAATGTGTCGGTCAATCCCACTATTCGTTGGTAAAATAATAGCCCAAGAGTTGATGGTGAGTGGTGCTTCCCCTTAGTTTTCCGTGCTAAATTAGGGATGGCTAGCACAGATATCCCTCGCGTGACTTTGCGCGAAATTCAAACCATTTTCAGATCTGAAAAAAAACGAAACACTACAGTAAGAAATCTGTCTGTCGAACTGAGCTAAGATAAGTTATTTTTACAATTATTTTACAATGTCAAGTTTTAAACCAAAGAAATTAAAATTTGAAATACCAGTACTAAAAATGTTAAGTTTCACTATTATTAAATAGTGCATGTCTACTGTAAGTAAACGTCCTTCTGATTGACTGGATTCTTGGTTTGGCTGGTAAGTCATGTTTTTTGTCGTTTCTCAATTCCATAGTACATGTATTTTTGTCTTCTTTCTGCACATTTTGTTGGTAATAGAGTAGTGAGTGGATGACTAGTATCTGCTTCAGCTACAGCATATAAATTAATAACTTTTTGATCAAGAACACTTTGCAGGTCTTCTAAACTTTTTCCAATAACTTAACAGCACGTTTATGGGTGGTAAACAGTGGCAACAAGTTTGTGTCTGTTGCTGTATACCATGCAGTGTAACCATATAACATAGGCGGGAGCACTACAGTTTTGTAAAAATAGATCAGCTCTTCCTGGTTGTAACCCTTCTTCTTCAGTTCCTTGAGTTAATATTG